CCTACAGGCTAATGCTTACATCGATGTATTGAGCACTGCGCATAATAATGTGTAGGCATTACCGACAGCATAATATGGACTGTTATTACTACTACAACTACGCATTGAGCTATTATTAGTTTTGTTTAGTGTAACTCACATCGGCAAATTTCTGATCAAATACATTAACTTACAATACTCCATTTAACAGAATCAATTTTTCGATAGCGTATCCTGAAAATTAATTGGTTGGGAAATAGCGTCCATCCATGAGAGTCTTTCCATTCAGCGTAAAGTTGTTGTGCCGTCTCGCCTGGGACAACTGTCAGATTTCTAGGTGGTAGTGGAATAACTGAAAAATACCGTCGAGTTAAAAACTTGTTAATAATGTATTATGTACACTATATTGATGATGATGATGTTAAACAACACGAAGGAGTCAATGATGGTGATATATAGTTTTATTAATAGGCCTATACAATAACAATAACTACCGAACTATTATATATGTAATAATAGCCAAATTTTATCTACGTTAATATCTTACAGTTATACATATATAATGTTGTTTCAACTGAATTGCTGTCTCCTTGCTCATCCTTGGGTTGAACAGTAACTTTGCGATCGTTAGTGATTTCCCCATAGAAATGACATGCATTCTCCCTCGCGTCCGTACAGTCCCGCCAAAAACCATATTCGTTCTCTTCATCCCTGCAATAATAGTTAAGGTTAAAAAGGTATTGTTCACGCTACAGAAAACAAGTAACGCAACGCGTCTACATTTCTTTATCAGTGTGTGTGTTTAAGGGTAAACATAATCATATCATAGACATTCTGGATGAATAAACTTTAAACTTAATGAATTACCGTTTAAGATTATACGTTAATTATCCTAGCCTGTTACGGTGAATTTGCTCAAAATTTTTAATGTTTAATTTACGCCAGTGTTACGAAAACATGGTTTATAATCATACCATAAACAGACATGAATGTAAGTCTTTATCTGACGAGATTTAGTAGGCCAATATATAAAAATAACTTACTGCCACCTTGCTACGTATTCAATCGATTCATTACCAGGTACCCAAGTGCAGACATATTCGGAGGGAGAATAACCATAACAGGTAAGGTTGCTTGCACTTCTTGAAACCACTAACAAGATTTAAAAAAAAAAAAAGTTAATTCACTAGATTATTGTACATGTAAAAAAAAAGTTGAGACAACTCATGAAAGAGGGCGCACTATCACAATAAAAATACAGTAGTGTAGTCATTTCAATAAATATAGCGCCTACTGTATAACTTCCAATCATTAGATTGTAATAGGTACTATTGTAGCACACTGCTCAGTAATACGGTAATACCTGGTCAAACCCAGTTGTGTATTCTTCATTTTGAAAAATATGGCTGCAATATATTAGGCTAACATGTAGCGCCAGGAACGTTACCCAGATCTTAGACCCCTTGTGGACATGTGATGGCCACTACTTTATCATTTTAGGAGTCACTTCATTAAATGAATCTTGCTGAGCGTCAGTCCAACTCAAAATCTGACCAATCGGAGAAGGGCCAGGCAAAATGCATACCGGTATGTCCTACACATAAAATTTTGCATATGTTTACGCTGTTGTTTTGTAGGACCTTAGCAAAACATCCGAGGGTAGGGGTCTATACTTGTTCGTTCAGCACGTGCTGTTAAATAGCCAGGAATACGCGCATGTCCCACAAACACGCAAGCTTATGTACGGCGTACATGGAGGGGATCATAAGGAATGAGCGCAAGCCACCTGGTGTTCACTAGGTTCATAAATTCACTAGGAATATCCCAGCCCTCGATTAAGGCATTTTTGAAAGCGCTGAATTTACTATGAACGATGTACCAGTGGCGTCGAGAGCCAGTAAAGGGCACCCGGGGCAACACCTCACTTTTCCCCCTCCCCCACCTTCACTTGGGACCCCACTCGGCCGCTCCCCAAATTAAGTCTCCTCCTAAATCTGACAACAAAAGTTTTCATCTTGGCTGGTGCTCGGGCCCTATGGAGATTTTGTTCTTACCCCGAAAATTTTTCATCTTGGTCCGGGCCCCCCAGTAGACACTTTTATTGTTATTTAATTAAGTTTGTACGCACCACTATATACAGGCATGCGAGTAAGAAAAATTGATTTCCACTGAAACCCCGGCGAGAGAAAACGCAGTGACCTGTCTCTTATACACATCTGGTCCTTGTGGCACGTACATCCAGTTGTAGGCCAGTAGGGGCAGGGGAATCCCCCCGTCGGAGAGGCCTAGACCACCCTGTAGTTCAAAGCACGACTAGGTTTTCGGATAATAAATAAAAAAATAATAATAATAATTTGCCTATCCAAATAAATATATTTTGACTGTCAATCCCTAGGATTTTTGTCTCTAAAAGTACATTTTGGACCATGCTATGCCATTAATTAATTAATGCCCAACCCAAGCACAGAACAAGTAAATAAATAAAAAAAGAAGCAGTGGCAAAGTTCAGTATCATAAATAAATAATGCAACAATAAATGAACTAACAAGGAATACAGATTCCATACGCATTTCCATGACATGCTACAATGTTATGACTACAATATCATTATTGTTAAGTCGATAACATTGAAAGAACGAAAGGTCTACTTAACTTACCGTTTGAGGAATCAGATAGAAAGATTGTATTGAAAAATAACAATAAAAGTATGCTCCACTTCATAATAAATTCCAGTATATTTTACTGAAAGATAAAAATGTAAGGTCAAATACAAAACATTTTTCGCACTAAGCCGCTCCCTCTGTTGCCGCCGATGATATATTTAAACTTAAACTTCGGCTAAAAATAGCACATTAAAACTTACGAAAAGTGGTAGGTTTTATACACGATAATGAATACGAATACTTCATTATCATTATCGTCATTCGTGCCCGAAACATTCTTGACAAAATGCTGTACAAGCTGCATACAATCCTTGATACATGCAAAAGACATGAATCGCCTACGTTGTCAGTCGTGATAGATATGTTACTGTATGGGAAGGGATTGTCTAAAAAATTTATGACGTAGCCGTATTCGTTATCGTATTCGTTATCGTATTCGTAAGCTTGCGATCTGTTTACCAAGACAAACCCTTTCCGCTTTTCTTATTAAAATAAGAGAAACTATTTTATAATTTTTTTTAGTTGGTTAAAAATATTTTTTTTATTGTTCTGTTAAGCTCTGTCCACATTATCAAACTTTCTGTGACAAAAAAAAACTGTTGTATGCCATATAAAGGAATGATGTGCCCATATATGATCATAAAGTGATGTCACCATGACCACATTATAACATGTCACATATTTTTGTCAAATAAAATTTGATGTGTGAACAAGGCTGTCTACACTATCAAATTTCATCAAAAAACCGTCACTTAAAAAAAGAGTTGAACACGTTAAACTTTTTTGATACAATCTGATAGTACGTGATATGACGTCATCGTGTCCATATATGGTCACATCACATTTTTTTGTCACATAAATTTTGATAGTGTAGACAAAGCTTAAGAGTTGAACACGTTCAACTTTTTTGATACAATTTGATAGTGTGTGGTATGACGTCATCGTACCCATATGCCACATCACATTTTTTGTCACATAAAGTTTGATAGTGTAGACAAAGCTTTAGAATTCTATATCTCGATAGGCCTGTATTTCATTGGCTTCAAAAACAGGAAATAAATATGGGTGTTAGGTAAACACTGATTAGCAGTGTGGGTATTCAGGCCCGTAGCCAGGTTCTTCCATGGGGGAGGGGTCGTTTGGCCGTGGTGTCCAGGGGAAAATCCCCCGTGGGGTTGGGGAAATTTACGAAAAACCCAGAGGATTTTTGTCTAAATAATGCTATAAAAGCAGTCATGTTTGAAAAAGGTCTGGTTGGGTCTGCAGTGCATTAGTTGGGGTTGAGAACTCGTTCGAGAAATTCAAGGAGGGTGGTCGGCGAAAGCCCCAAAGTCAGAGAACTTTTGTGTTCTATGTGTCCAGTCATGTTTGAAAGGTCTGGTTGGCTCTGCAGTAAAATAGCTGGGTTTGATGACTCGATTAGGGGGGGGGGGGGGAAGGGAGTTTTCCAGAAAATCTATGCTAGAAAAGGAGGGATTTCCGAACTATAAAATCTCCCTTGTCTAGGGCCTGGTATTAGGTAACTAAAAGTTGATGCTAAATGAGGATTTTGTTGTTGGGTTAGCTAAAGGGTGTTGGTTTTTCTGAATAACGTTGTTAGTTAGTAGTTAGCTTAAGTAGTACCGGTATGAGATACGACTCCTCATCAGGTAGACTAGTGATTACCTTCATAAAAATGAAAACATACTGTTACTACAAACTGTATAGGTTTAGTGTACCATTCAGAGGGCACACTCCTCCTAAACTACTAATTATATGGTTAATGCAAGAATAACTAACTTGAGATAAATACAGTAAATTTTAACTTACCAAATGAAGGAAAACATGAACACCGAGGGGGCCTACAGTCAACCTTTGTATAGTAATTTAATGAACCATTGCAGAAATATATATTCCTTTGTAAGTACATTTCAATTGAAGATTGCTCAACCGATTAGTGCTTGTTTTTGTAAGATCATCATTTGTGCTGTGTCTTTTGTGCTATGTATTTCCTGTTCAGTGCCGACTTATACTACAGTGCCCTTTCGTGATTCCTAATCACTGTAGTTGTGAAGTGTGTAGTCCCTCCGTGTTCATGATGTGGAGTTGACAGTTTTAAATATTTGCATTGACTAACTTCACACCATACTTGTCCAAAGTTCAATGATACGGGTCCGACGAATTATCCAATGAAATGGAATTACCCAAATGAAATTGAATTACCTAACTGAAAACCAAAATGATACGGAATTACCCAAATGAAAACCAAAATAATACGAATTACTCAAATGAATTGAAATTAGCAACACGTGATAGCCCAAATGACTCTGTTACAGCATGTCATATATACCAAACTAAACACCAAATATGATGTTAGTATCCCTAGGTAAATTATAGCATTTATTATAATTTCTAATATTAGCAGGCAGGGCTCATATATGTGTAGTCATTTCTAACGTAGGCTATTAAAAAATTTACACAATTGTATTGAACAAATAATGTCGAACATAATATCCACCTGTATATAAATAAAATAAGATAAAGTGACGTCGGGACAGTGTCGTCACGCTCGGGCGCTGACGGGGGAGGAGCGCCAGGACCCCCGAGGCACGAGGGGCCCCGACATTGTAGTGTAAACAAATATAATGTAAAGTATAATACCATACAATCCGGCCCCGACAGTTTTAAACATTGAAAATACACTGGTCTGGCATCATCATACAGAAACAGGTGGCAAAGTGCGAGTCGCATGCTTTATATTTATTTGAATTTTATATTATTTGATGTTATTCTTTTCTTTAATAATTTTTTCTTAATTCCTGATTTTTCACTTTTATTGTTATTTAATTAAGTTTGTACGCACCACTATATACAGGCATGCGAGTAAGAAAAATTGATTTCCACTGAAACCCCGGCGAGAGAAAACGCAGTGACCGAGCGGGGTGGGTACGGGAGGAGATCCACTCCCGTTAGAAATTTTTTTAATACTGAGGTTGAAAAGACTGCATTCTAGGGTACTTCACTGTTAAAATGACTTCTGTGTATTACTGTTGTTAGCATTTTAATTAAAATAGGACACAACAGCAAGCCATATCACGGCAATCTAGGAACAGCCTCTACAACATTGAAACAAAAAAATCGTCTTTGCACGGCCAGTTCTCAAGAGTGCCAATGCAAAAAACAAATCGAAGTGCAGTGTACCAGAAACTTGAAAGACAAAAATAATGAGATTAGCCTGATGAATATTATTCTCTTAAATGACCCCCTCATCCCCTAAAAAAGAAAAAAAGCTGTTGACTATTTACAAACATCTGCACAAATGTTTTGTTTGATGAAGAAAGCACTCTAACCGGACATGATAGGGGTGAAAGTGAGGAGGGTCCAGACGTCGGCGTCAATCACCCGGGTACGGCTGGATCATCATAATGTTTAAATAATCACTGCAATTATTACCATTTCGGAGGCCTATACAAGATTAATACAGCATTCTAAAGTACAATATTGAATACAGTACTACAAAGAATAGGCCTATGTAAAAACGGGATTATGCAGTACATGCTAAAACGTTGTGATGATTGACTTACTTTATGGTTAATGTTAGGCCTATATATATTTTTTATTCCGTTATGCTTACGCGCAATGTCGTAGCCAGCTATTGGGATAGTTGGGACAGTCCCACACACTTTTTCTAATGGGTCCACAAAGGATGGGTCCACATTTTTACAAATGGGTCCAAATTATTATTATTTTTTTTTTTTTTTGCATAAAATGAGTCAACTTTTTGAAAAATGGGTCCAGATTTCTTATCTGTATATTTTGCCTAAAATGGACAAAATTTTGAGAAAATGGGTCCAGATTTTTCATATTTTTGCGTAAAATTGGTTAATGGGTTAAGAAAATGGGTCCAATTATTTTAATTTACGCGTAAATTGGGTCCACCATGATATTGTCCCGACCTGTTTGAAAATCCTGGCTACGGCATTGCTTACGCGTATTTATCAGCTACACTTACTGCAGTGGTACGTTCCACTTACGTACTACTATAATAAATAATTACTGTGTTTTGTATTAACGTTATTTTGAATAATGAATTCTCGCATGTTACTTCTGTAGCGTGACAGGTCCTCGTCCATTTATAGATTCGAGTTAGTGTAACATTATTTTTGATGATATGTTAATGGACATAAATAGGTATTTTTTTTAAATGTCAATAATGGTAAGACACCTAAAAGGATGGTGCTACGATTCTTCTGATCTGTGCATGTACCTGGACGATAAATCGTCAAAAATATTTTGTTCCTTATTCAAATCAGTAGGTGATACAGTATTTTATAAACGTCTGTTAAGATTCTACTAGAAAATAAAAAAGTAATAATGATATAATGATTATAATAACAATAGCAAAAGTGCGGTAGTAAAAATGATGATGATGATTACGATATTAAAATAATAACGAGCTGCAGCTGTTACTATTATAATAGTATAGTATAATGCTATAATAATAATACTAATAATCGTTTTCGATTAAATTAAACTGCGATTCATGTGGATAATTTCGTTTTAGGTGTTCATTTGGGTAATTTCGTTTCATTTAGGTTTTCATTTGGGCGATTCCATTTCATTTGGTTATCATTTGGGTAATTCCATTTCATTTTGGTAATTTGCCCGACCGCATTGATACTGCTCTTCTCTGCCATGCTTATCTGCCCACAACACTATCTCAGATTAAATTATACAGTATTATGGAGCTAAATTAAGCTAATAGCCCCATGATTACATTTGTTACGGCAGTAATATTGTGTATTGTGCCCGTTGCTACAACATTAAAACACTATTTCTATTAAATGGAAATTGATGAGCATATTAATAGTACCACGCACAGCTGTTTTTTCAGTACTCAAAGAAAAGACCCACAATCAGTCTGTGTGAAGCACAGTAGGCCATTTAAGTTATACAGTATATTCTAAGAATCAAAGGTATAATACTTGTCTTTAAATGTCTTTAAATATAGTTTAAAAAGACTTTTGCAAATGAAAGTCAAACTTTTTCAATAAAGAATTGGGAGCCAATAATTTTTTCACATATTTTTTTTTTTTTTTTTTTGGTTAGGGGAGGGGTAATATTTTGGGGTTAACATGATCAGTCTTTGAACCACTAAATTATAACATAGTTACTCTGGATAATGTCTCCAAGACAATACGCATTTATTTCATAAATGTTACAGATACAGACAAATCAATGGTGTTTCACCACATAAAACAATATTTTGGTGACAAATTAATACTTATAATGAAATATATCATAGGTTTATAATATATGCTATAATAATTTGTATATCAAAGTGGAATACAATTTGAAAGCTAATGATATTTTTTTATATTTTTACTGAGAAATTAAATTTAAAAAAAATAAAATACCGTAAAACCTCAAATTGAAACCCTGGGCTTCTTGAAAATACTATCTTGTAAAAAAAAAAGCCCATGGACTTTTTTTCGAGGCTACTTTTGCAAACTAAAGAGGGCGCTTCAATTTGAGATGGGCTTCTTCTCGAGATTAAGCCAATTAGGCTTCTATTCGATGTTTTACGGTATATACAGCCTGTAGCACAAAGAAACTAATTTTTTTGAGTCGATGGGTAAAAGATGATAGGCCTAAAAAAATGTTTATATATCTATTCATCTTCCACACCATCTTGCATAAAGTCATGAGCATTTCGTAAATGTTTGGCCTCCTTATAATGAGTTGTAATTTCGTATCTTGAAACTTTTCCAGTAAAATTTACAATATTTAGGAGACAAACTAAACATTAGCCAGAGTTTGCTTACCCTAAGTATAACTTTCCTCATACTATACAATTATAATAAAGAAATTATAGCACCTCTAACCATATCATATGAAAGTACCCCCAATATTACACCAACCAATCAGTGAACCAATACAACTTGTATAAACAATATAATATGTTATACATCCAATTTTTTAAATAGCATTAGCATCTAATTACTTCTAATTATAATCATTTATTTCATGGTATACACCATTGTTCAAATAGTTCTATATTTACACATAAAGCTTTTACACTGGATGAAATTAACTGATAAACCAGTCAACTCAGTAGTGATTGGCTGGCTAATTCTGGCTTGCACATTTTAGTGTTAACAAAATTAATGCCCAACAAATAAAAACTATTTGAATAATGCCTAACTGTTATCATGCTATGATCGGAATTTATATTACACGCACAGGTTGCCATACTGATTTTGTTGCTGCTTGTAAAGGAATCATTCAACAAAAAACAACATTATCCAAGATCCCTATTTCCGAACATCAAAAATTCATCAATTAAAAAATATGGTGGGCCAGCTGAGTGATTACTATTACCTGCAGCAAATACAGTATGTGATATAAAATACCATAATAAGAACAAAGCATATTTTGACATGCACCTAGTTTGTATGACAGTCTCATTGGCTTCTTAATACCAGAACATGTGTTAGAGTCACCCTTAACATATGAAGAGACTTTTGAAATCACACTTTGGTTGTTGTTGACTTCTGGGCCCATCTTTGTATCTTCTGTGGATATTAGCTTTTGTTTAACCCTGTCTCTTATACACATCTAGATGTGTATACTTATGTGTACATATAGTGTATATAATATATACATTATATATATATACATATAAATATATATTTATATATTGTATATACATTATGTATAAGTAAAACATAAAATATAAATGTAATATTCATAAATATAATAGTTGCAAATAGGGTGTATGGAATTCTTCAAAACATTGCCTCCTATTTTCTTATTCTATAAAGATGGAGAAACTTTGTATATAATTTTTGCTGCTTTAAATTGACCCTTCATCATTCTTCCCTGATTCTTGAAATGTGATCTTGATTGAACTGGTGTCTGGCGATTTGGAAGTTTTGCAGGTTGCACTAGAGGACTGGATGCAGTTGTATTAGAATTAGCTAGACTCAGAATTGGTATATAACCACCCTGTTGATTCGCTTTGGAATTATTTAGCTGTCTTGGCAAAGCACTACTATTAACATTCTTTGGGCCTGACATCCCAGATTTTGGGCTTGATTTTTGCACTGCACTGCCACTAATATTCTGTGGGGCTGAGGCACCAGAAGGTGGGCTTAGCTTTGGCAATCCACTACCATGAATATTACATGGGCCTGAGGTCCCAGATAAAGATTTTTCTCCTTGCAAGGTACTGCCACTGATATTTTGTGGGACTGAAGAACGAGCAGGAAGGCCTTGTCTTTGCATTTCACTGCCATTAGCATTACACCTGGCAGAGCTTTTGGGTATTGGACTTTGTTTTGGCATGCCACTACCACTGATATACTGTGAAGCTGGAGTCCCTGAAGCTGGTCTCTGCCTTGGTACTCCACTGCCATTCACATTCTGGACAGCGCTCCTAGACAGTGGCTTCATATTCTGTGAGCATGAGGTCACATACGGTCGGTTTTGTTTCGGCAAATTCTGTGGGCCCAAGATCCTAGATGGTGATTCTACTTTTGACAAGGCACTGCTACTGATATTCTGTTTCCCTGAGGTACCAGAGGCTGGGTTTTGCACTGGCAATCCCCTGCTATTGATTTTCTGCGAGCCTGATGCTCCAGATGCTGTTAGTTTTGATGCAGGGTGAACAGTAGCTCTCTTTTGAAGGTCTTCAACATTACGTTGTGGTAATGCTCCATTTGGCAATGAAGATAATTTTTGCTCTGCTTTTTTGGTATAATTCAAGTGAGAAGCCTGTGATTGAGGATCTCTCTGGTTATACATGACAGCCTTTTTTGTGTTTTTATTTATTCTCTCTACTTCACTGAGAGTGACGTAGTGTGTAAGTGGTTGGTTGGATGGCGAAGTACATGGTGTGGATTTCATTGATGTGGAGCCTGATTCAGATTTATAAGCTATGTTATTAATGATACGGTGTACAGAATCTTGAACAGTTAATTTAACAGATTCATTCATAATTTTCTCATTAGCATTTTGCATTCCATTATCCTCACTTGATTTCTTCTCAGTTTTAATTGTTTCTTCAGAGGCACATGGTTTTAGAGATGGTCTGACAGAAGGTCTCATTGGCTTCTTAATACCAGAACATGTGTTAGAGTCACCCTTAACATATGAAGAGACTTTTGAAATCACACTTTGGTTGTTGTTGACTTCTGGGCCCATCTTTGTATCTTCTGTGGATATTAGCTTTTGTTTAACCTCATGCTGTTTTTCATTTGTTACTTTAAATTTCACAGAGGGTGGCTTAATAGCATTCTCATTAATTGAATCAACTGCAGGATGAGATGGGCTGTTTGCACTTGACTGGTTTACAGATGCCAACAAGGCAGGCAATTCTCTATGTTGAACATACACTGATTTTTTTGGCATTTTTTGAGTAAGAATATTTGAATGATGCCCAACAAATTTAGGCATATTTTTAACATCGACATAGCCATTGTCTGCTTTTGGTTTTCTCTGCATATGCCGAAGTTGCTTCTGTTTTGCCTGATGAGTCTGCCATTGGTGCATCTGCGCTGCATCCAGATATTCTGAGACAGTAGGTTGTGTGGTTCTTTGACAACTTCTTTGACAATCGTGTGGTGATTGTACTACTTTGGCAACATCCTTTGCTGCTATGTATCCAGGTCTCGTACATAATGATGTAGCTTTATTGTGGCTTTTCTGTGGCACTTTAGGAATTCCATCAAAATCTGTGTATTGACTAACAGCCTTGGGCTTACCAAGAGTAGCTTCAGGAACTTTGGAAGTGCAATGAACATCTGGTAGGCTTTGACGAAGCATCAACTGACTTTCATTTTCCAAGTCTTGATCCGATGATTCAGAGCCAATACCACTAGTATCTCCCGAGTCTGAGGTGTAAGATTCATCTTTCACATTGACATCATCCTTGGTATACTTTTTATCTAGCATGGGCATAGAATGATGAACACCCAACTTATCAAGGGATTCTCTCTGTAAATGCATGAAGTTTGACATCACTGTATTCTTTGGCATGGAATCTAAACTACAGATCAAATTTTCCTCTTCATCATCCACGCTTAAGAAGCTTATCTCAGTATTATTGCTTAGTAGTCGACTCCTCCTTTGTTGAATTCTTTGCCAATCATGGTCAATAGAAAACTTGCTGAGCAGGAGGTCAAATACGGTATCTTTTAATGTTGGATCTCCCAGCCTCTCCAGGAGCTTATCCAGTTCATCTTTTGTTGGTACTGCTCGCCTTTGCTTGACTTCATCGAAGACCTCATCTTCAGCATATGGTCTAGCGCTTGGAATTTGATCCCACTGGAAGAAAAACGAGATGAATCTGCATATCAGATATACTGTGTAATGAATTAGAATGTAACATATGTGTAATAAATATATTATATAATGAATAAAAATATGGAGAGTAAGTAAAGTATATATATTTTTTTTGAATCCGGAGTTATATAGCACCTATCACACACCGAAGAATACACAAGGCGCTGGTCATTAGATACTAAGTTGACAAACCAGCACATTTTTGTGCAACCTTCTCTGCTCCCTGGGGAGTATCCCAAGTCATCCTGCTTTACACGCACAACCTCATACGTTCAATGCCACAAGAAAATATGTACAAAAGATAGGAAAATAATTATAAGAATAAAAACTTGAATCGTCAAGTTTGCCTTTACATCTGTGCACTAACTGGGTATACCATAAATGGTGTATATTTTAACTATTATTGATAAAATATATTATTATTAATATTACATAATAAAATTTTTACATTTTTGCACATGTTTACAGCATCATTTTATCAATACTGTAATATCAAAGGGATGGAATGGTTCATTGAAAGAACTGTCAATAAAGTTGATGAAAGCAAAATTAACAACTAAATATAATTGATCAAGCACATAATTCGTCGCTCACATCACGAACTAACACAATTAAATTCAATTGTGTTAGTTCGTGAAATAAAAAAAGCGCGTCAAAATACGCGCTGTTGTTGTTAAGGACTTTTTGTGTGGTAATTGTTACGGACTTTTTGTGTGGTAAAGAATACAAAATTGCTTGACAACCAATACGCGCTCGTTTTGACGCGCTACTGTGATTTCACGAACTAACACAATCTACTTTGATTGTGTTAGTTCGTGATGTGAGCGACGAATTGTACAGTCATTACACCAGCTTCAGATTTAAAAAATTCCATTGGGAATGAAAGTTCTCTAATGAATGTGTTATCAATTTTAATTTTGCCAGTGTAAAACAGTTTAATGTTTCAACCTATTTACACTACCTTGCATAGATGAATCTTTATCAATTTATCATAAAATATATATACAGTAATGTGTATATATATATATATATATATATATATACAGTATATCGTAAAAGATTGTTATTTACTATTTATATCATCTAAAGACTAATAATTTATTTGAAATACCTTAAAAATACTGAAGTTTGGGTCTGGAAGAGGAAGGCAAATTTCAGATTTCCTGATCCGAATCCACACCATCCCAAGTAACAGAAAGATGACAAGAATAGCAATGCTAACTGCCACAGCAATAATAATTGCAGAGGGCGCTGTTTAAAAAAATAACATAGCGTTATAATAACAATTCTAGAGTGCTAACTCCATACATTCAAAGTTCTAAAAAAGTAGAGCTGTGTATGTATTATACAAGATCGCTGTCGGAGATTCAGCCAACCAAAATATACCTAATCATCATTTTCAATGGCGCCCTCAAATTTTAAACAGGAAATATTTTAGGACAGCATTAGTTACCCGTAAGTTAATGCTTAATGATTAATGAAATAATAGTTAAACAGCGGCCTTATTTTTTAGTATACTATGTATAGTAAGCCTAAAGATTGCACTCAGGGTGCTTGATATGTGGACTAGGAACTCAATCAATGACTTTCTTCTCCCCTAAGGGTCCCTTTGTTTCTGTGCTACCCGGTAACCCAGTACCAGCAACTCTTGTCGTCCACCACAGGGGCTGTCTATTCCAGTACACCGGGGTATCCCCCTACTCGTCTCGAATGATGTACTTGGTTCTTTATAGTGCACACGAGCCATTGTATACATTTTTAAGTAAATACAGTAAGGCCTGTCCACCCTACACAGTTTTAGTGTCAAACATCTGTGATTTGTTGATACTTGTACATAAGCATGATGTTTGTACACACGTTTGTAATTTAAGTAAACATTATTATTGTGCCTATTTTATTACACTCAGATTCAATTTTTATTTGCCCAATATGAAAATATAAAGTCATTAAAATGTCATTTATGTGAAACTCAAATCTTACCATCTGGAAGAGGTTGATCTTTCCGAACAAACAGACGAATATTAAATAAAGTTAACTTACGTATTGAGAGTGGTGAAGGAGGAATGTTGAGTATAGCTGGAGTGCTACTGGCTACAGAGTTGAAAGCACTTATGTATACAGTATAATTTGCATCTCGTAGTAAATCTACCAAAAATGTAATTTAATTAATGTCAATTTGTTATTGTCTAGTTTAGAGCTCTGTCTACACTATCAGATTTTATGTGACAAAAAAATGTGATATGCCCATATTTGGGTGTTATAATGACATCATCACGTCCATAATATAACACATCACACATATTTTACTTTTCTACTACTTTTAATTTAGTTTAGATTTATACAGTTCATTCATATTTAAAATACAATATAAAATGACAAAAAGACCATACAATGAATACTTAAATTACAACAATATCGGCATAAACCAAGGAGTAACCCAAGAAATATTGTAAATGTTCAAATAAGCACTATGACAAATACGTGATTTCTGGAGAAATGATGCATTTTCACAGACATTATTAAAATACCGTATTTATTTGAATAAACACCCCACTTTAAAATAAATTCCACTCTTAGTAAACGCCCCTTCAAAAACCCTTCACAACAATAAACGCCCCTGGGCATTTATTCAAATAAATAGGAAACCAATCAACTCGTTCCCGAGCAAACTCACCTATAGCAAAGCCGCACCTAGCTAAGTCAATCCCCTCTACAAACTCGCCCCTTAAACTTGCCCCTTAACAATCTCACCCCTGCAAACCCTCCCCAATCCAATCCAATTCAATCTTAAATTTGTAAGGCACATGTAGATAATGCCGAGAATGAAAAAGTGCTCAAACAAACGAAAAATACAATAAAATAGGCAGAAAAATAAAGAAAAAGTAAAAACTGAAACTTTAAGTCTTGTTTTGAAAATCTTCACTACTGGAAATTCACAAACTGTAACAGACAGCCATAATTTGTGAGCAGCAACCATAAAAGCTCTGTCACCATAGGTCACAGTACAAGAAGCTGCAACAGTTCGAGTGTGAGAAAAGGTAGTGGATCTCAAAGTGCGTCAGAATGAAGAGGAAACGTAAGGAAAGAAGATCAGTAATATACTATGTAAGACTACAAAAAGATTTGAAAAAAAACCAAAAAAAAACAGTATCTTGAATACAATTCACTGTTTCACATTCAGCCAATGGAGATAAAGGAGGGTAGGACTAACATGATCATAATTAGCAATGCCGGATACCAAAGGAGCTGCTAAATTCTGAAGCAGCTGAATTGATGTCTGTGACAGTTCATAAAGGAGACCATTGCAATAATTCAATTTAGACGTAATAAAAGCATAGACCACTTTCTTAGATTCTCCTGATGTTTTGAGCATGAAAATTAACTGCCTTGCAGGTTTTAGTGCCTGTTCAAAGTCATAGATTACTCAAAGATCACACCTAGAATGCGTACCTCTGAAGATGGAACAACAGAAGTATTACCATTCATGAGCATGTTTTCTACAAGCCATGTCTGGACATTGCTGATGCATGTTTCCATTTTAAATTTAGCACTGTTTTAATTTATAGGACAAGGTTTGAAAGATGTATACAATTGAGTATCATCTGCATATTAAAACAAGATAGTAGGTCTTATTTCGGTTTCTTTCTCCCCCGACAAACTTTCCCCCTAACAAACTCGCCACTTGACTATACACAGTCTCCCCTACAAACTCACCCCCTAAAAAACTTGTCCCCTAACGGGGGGCGAGTTTCTAAGTGGAGTCAGTTGTTAAGGGGAGAGTTTGTAGGGGGCAAGACAGAAAGGGGAAAGTTTACTAGGGGGCGTGTTGACTGGAATATAAATATTGTATCTTACTTTTATAAGTGTATTGAGTGATGCTGCCATTGTTCAGCTTGGTTGTATTGAGGTACACTCCATTCTTATACAATTCAATTTCAAAACCTAGAATTTTCCCTCTGGCTTTCATCTCTTCAGGAACCTTTGAAAATGTAAATAAGAAAACAATATTCTATAAATTGAAATATTACCAGCATTTAATAATTTGGTATACCAGTGAAAATCGAAATAGTTCTCATATGGACCCAGTGTCCATCACAAATAATAGTTCATGGTGTCTATTATGGTGTTCTAGTATCAACCATAAAGCAGTCATCTTTGTGCTTTTGACTGGTCAATAAAGGTGTTTGAGGGTCAACCATTATCCCTGGCCTGGGAAGTATTCCAGTTATGCTGCATACAGAATATTCCCTTTCCTATTAGATACATATTGCCAACCATCCCCACACCCCACATATTTTGGTTGTTAAAACTGTACCTACAGGACTAAAATTCAAGGATAAAGGTATCAATGTATTGATTAAAAGCATTGCATTGCATTTTGAAACAGACCACAAATATTCTGAGCTTCTCCTTAAAAACGACCCCAGATTGATCAGTTGGACTTGAGTAGCAAAATGTTGTTTTTCTTTACCTTTACTATAGGCTTATGACATATGGCATATGTTTATGGTTTGTTTAAACTTTAAATTGTACTTTCTTTAGTTAAGTTCTTTCATTTGTTTAGCTTTAAGTTGTTGTTTTCCTCTTTGTTCATTAGTTCAAGTTTGACTGCGCCACTTTCTTGTGTGCTGCCACTGTTGTAAAAGTGTAATGTGAAATAAATATTATTTATTTTATATGAGCTAAAACATAATAAATCAAACCAGACTATGTTTTAACCAAAAATTAAATGAAACCATTGGTTGTGTGTGTGTGTGGGTTGCAAAAATAGGTTGGGTAGATGCTACAATCAATTAAGTTACAATAATTATCATCATCATTAATATGTTTTTAATTAGACATACCTCCCATTTCAATAGAATGTTCCTGTAGGTTTCTTTGTTATCCTCGCTATCTGTTTCTTCATACATTACATCAACTTGTCCAAAAGGATCTGAAAAAGACATGACCTTACTAACACAAATAATTCACAACGATGGTTTCATATCTGGTTACAAGGAAATACATACTTCTACACAATGCAACCTCAATACAGTGGCTAGCTATGGTCAGTGGTTAAAACAATATTCAACTATAACACTGAATACCTCATTAAAATGGATTAAATTGCCAATGATGAACAGATCAAAACAACTGCGTTCTTGCTGATCTCCAGATATTCAAGAATGCGACAAAACATTAACAACAATAATATTAATAATTAAAATATTATTTTAAACAATAATAATAACAACAATAATATAATAATTAGTTCATATTTCAGTTGCAAATAAATGTTCAAAGTTCGTCCTTCTAAGATATAAGAAAGGTACAGTATAAATGGTATGTAAAGTAAACACAGTTAGGTGCAAGATGTGGACATAGATCCATTCAACACTGTAACATACGAAAAATGAAACGCAATGGGAGCATAAATCATGATGTAAAGTTTTGTGTACTCAACACAAGATCCGTAAGAAATAAGACAACTGAGTTTGTTGATTTTGCGCTTGATCACAAGTTTGATGCTACTGCTCTATGTGAATCTTGGATTAGAGCAGATGATACATCTGTAATTGGAAACATTACCCCTCCTGGCTATTTGTTCAAGCATGTACCGAGAGTTGGCGGAAAGCGTGGTGGTGGCATCGCGTTTGTATGTAAATCGGGACTGAATGTTAATATTATAAAATTTTCAGATATTCTACAGTCATTTGAATCTCTGCACTTGGATGAACTGATGAATTATCTCCATCATCTATGTCTTATAATAATATATCGCCCACAATCTTCATAAATTGGTTGTTCGTTTAGTGACTTTCTAGATGAGTTCTCTTCTGTAGTTGATGAGTATATCTATAGATCTTCACCAATTATAATCACTGGTGATTTTAATATTCAAGTCGATGATGTAAATGATGCTAATGCTAACTCTTTTAAGGACTTGCTTAATTCAAGCAGTCTTCAACAGCACATAGCTGTCTCAACGTATAAATATGGGCATACTCTGGATTTATACCGGTTTTTCACAGTCTTAGTGTTATTGATGGATTGTCAGATCATTCTGCTATAACATGTAAACTCAAGTTGAACAAACCACGCAATATCACAAAGTGCATCACGTCTCGCCATATACAGTAAGTGCCATTGATGTCAGTGGTTTTTGCAGGGACATCACTGAATCCCAGATGTACTCGGTTTCTTACGACAACTTCCAACAATATTGTAATACACTTGGTAAAATTCTGGATGGGCATGCTCCAGTGAAAGTAAGAATTATTACTTATCGACCACACTCTCCATGGTACACCAGCGGAATACGGGATGCAAAATGTGATCGTTGATTCCTGGAAAACAAGTGGCGCAAGTCAGGAATAGAAATTGATTGTCAGTCCTATTGCTGTAAGAAGCAAGAAATAAAAACATTGATATGGAAGGCAAAAGTTATGCATTATAACAAGCTATACACTGATAATGAGAAGGATCAAAAACGCCTGTTTCAAATTACAGAAATGCTACTTCACCGACGCCAAACCACGAAACTTCCAAAGGCTGATAGTGAGGAAGACTTAGCTAACCAATTCAGCGTTTTCTTCACCAATAAAATAAAGAATATAATGGCCACTTTGCAGTCTGTAGGTATCTTTCAGGAACCTGAATCAGCTCCAGCTCAAATGATATCATTTACACCAGCAACCGATGATGAAGTTTACAACATCATTGCCAACTCTCCAGCCAAATCATGCAAACTTTACGTCATACCTACGTCCCTGCTAAAGAAGTGTCATCACGCCATAGTTCCAGTTTTAACTTCAATCGTTAATAGGTCTATGAAAACTGGTGAAGTGCCAGAGCACTTAAAAGTTGCAAACGTAAGACCGATAATTAAAAACAAATCTTTGGATACAAATGACTACAATAGTTATCGACCTGTGTCAAATCTTTCGTTCATCAGCAAAACTCTAGAGAGAATTGTATGGTCAAGGATAAGATCGTTTCTTGAAATTCACCACCTTAATGATGATTACCAGTCTGCTTATCGGGCAGCGCACAGCACTGAGACCGCTCTAATGAGGGTACATAATGATCTGCTACAGGCAATGGATGTGGGGAAAATTTCATTGCTGCTACTCCTTGACATGTCAGCAGCATTCGACACGGTAAATCATGACTTGTTCATTAAACGCCCGAAGAACCGCATCGGAATTAATGGAGTAGCGCTGGATTCGCTCATTACCTAACTGGAAGAAGCCAAGTTGTCTGCATCACAATGCAACATCTGTCCAAGTTGCATGAGATACTGGATTGAATCAGGGCTCTGTTCTAGGTCCTGGTTGTTTTTCAACCTACACTCTACCACTTGGTGAAATAATTCGCAAGCATGGCCTAGGGTATCATTGTTATGCTGATGAATACACATTTATATTATTCAGTCAAACCAAATCAATTAGATGTGGATAATGCAATAAGAAATATCGAAACTTGCATTGATGATATTTGTGCATGGATGACACACAATTCACACAAACTGAATGATAAGAAGACAAGTTTTATGGTCATTGGATCTAAGCATCAATTAACAAAAGTTAATATCACTGGCATAAGAATAGGTACATCTTATATAAAACCCATTGTGAATGCTCGTAATCTTGGAGTAGTGTTCGATTCAACGATGACTATGAGAGATCATATCACATCAATTTCCAATTCTGCATGCATGTCAATATGAAATATTGGGAGAATCCGCCAGTACCTGACGAGGCATGTGTCAGAGCTAATCATTCATGCATTTGTGACATCTCGCTTGGATTACGGAAACACTCTCCTTTTTAATATCCCACAGCAACAACTCTTCCGTTTGCAGCGTCTTCAGAACATCGCTGCAAGAATGGTAACCTTCGCAAAGAAGAGAGACCACATCACACCGGTTTTGAAGAAATTACATTGGCTACCAGTTCAACAAAGAAGCGTATACAAGATCGCTATGGTTGTATTTAAAGTTCTGAAAGGACATGGCCCTTCATATCTTGTAGATCTTGTAAACGCATATAAGTCATCACGAGTGGGACTTAGATCATCCACTCATGGATTGCTCACTGAAATATCATCGAATACCAGGTGGAGAGAATGCCCTTTTATAGTTGCCTCGGCACAAGTATGGAACAGTCTCCCCATCCAGATCAGAATGATACAGGATCTTGGAAGCTTCAAGAGAGAGCTAAAAACATTCCTTTTCTGTGCTGCATATAACTGATGAAACACTTTCAGAAGCGCCATGAGCATCATATTTGGCGGATACCGGCGCTATATAAATGTTCTATTCTATTCTATTTGTTCAAAATGGTTTTCCTAGATTTAATGAGTAATTAAAATATGTCTTTAGTTGTAGGACTAAAGAGTGCAGCAATAAATGAATAATACAATATTACAGTATGTTTGCAAGTATTTGAATAGGAAAGTTTAAATTTTAATTAAATTTCAAATTTCTTGGTTTACCATATTACTGTGGTAGTAATTCCATATTATATTATCAGAATTTTTTATCGTTTTTTTTTTCTTATTTTGACTATTTTTTATCATTGTATTTGTTTATTTAAGGATGAAAGACTGAAATAAAGTTGAAATTAAAAGTGTAATGGAAAAAATTGCACTAATTAAATTCTTGCTCACATTCTTCCTTCGTTGTTATAGTGAAGGATGATGACCATTTACCAGCCACAGAAGCCTGATGATATTTAGCCCTCACTTGCACTTCATAAGTTGTATACGCCTCCAGATCTCTTATGACATAGTCATTTATATCTTCACCCTCTATCAGTAATCGGCCATCAGGAACCTACAAATGATAAGCCGATGTTAAAGATGCACTAACTGTGATGATCTAAAAAAACATTATTCAATATTCTAATGGCAGTGGCTATTGTTACACCAGCCAAATTTGTTATGCTATTTTTACACCATCTAGTGACCAGTAACCAGATTTTGGTCTTGTAATTTGTCTGAAGTAGAATGGGACAATCTTACGTCAGCCAATTCAAAACAGAGACACAGCTAGCAAAGGGTGGTGAGTATGTGTAAACTATTATTTACCAGATTTTGTGGTCCAACCAACTGGTTGTATATTTTACTCAGTTCTGATTAGTTTTACCTTTCTAACACCATATTTATTCAACAATATATCACGAGGGGGCTCTTTCAGCGCTGTCTCTTATACACATCTAGATGTGTATAAGTTATACACATCTTATATATATATATATATATATATATATATATATTTATATTTATATATTAATATTATTATTATTTTGCAGTAAACCACAAACCTTACGCCAACTTGAACCTGGTGAGATGGGTCTGTATTGAAGTTGATACTCAAGGTAATAAGAGTGTTCTTTCCATCCATCCGAAACCCTCCAACTTGCCAATATTATGCTTTCATTAGAATGGTTCAGTGTTAAATCAGTTGGTGGTAAGGGTCGAACTAATGAAAAAAAGAAATTTAAGAATTGTATTAAGTTATCAAACGTTTTCCTTCACAAAATAATTAATCACATCGCTTCCTGGGATGCACATTCAGAGTGTAGGCTAAAAAAACTTCAGAAATCAAATCAATATTTCAATTGCATATTTTGGAAATTAGCTAAGTATATGTTAGAAGTGGTGGGTTAAAGAGGGCCCAGACAGCCCGGAAAAACACAACCCCTTCCCCTTGCAGCCAGCCCGGGCTTCCTATATTTTTTCAAAATTATAAAAAAATAGAGAAGAAAAGAATATTATATCCAAATTTAAGTCTGACAGTGCCATTTCTGGCCATCCAGAGGTGCCACTCATGGATTCGCCACTGGTACAAGAACAAGAAAATATTTTCCTCATCAAATAACATACATAAATAATTTATAATAATAAATAATAATAACATTGCTATACTATTTGTATACACAATTAAACTGATCAATTAAGAATTATATTTAGCAAAGCAACAAGTGAAAACAGAATTACTCTTGAAGGCTAAATTCAATGTTCTGCTAATATTCCATTTTTTATAGTCTTATGAATTCTTTTGCTAAGGGAGTTCCAGACTAAAACCTAGCAAAAGACACGATTTTAAAGACAAAAGTGTTGAGCAAACGGCATCAGTCGACCAAAACAATTCAATGCAACATGAAATGACGCAAGCGCGACAGTCACTTTAACAACGATCCAGTCAGACTGCCACCAACGAAAGATAATATTGTGTCTGCAGGCTGACTTGCACAAAGCACAGACAGATTCCATCACCAATGGTCATCAGCTGACGTAATGCATGACAGACTTTAAGATCCTTAAGTATACAAGGAGCTGAGTCTTGCATTTTCTGATGGGAATAGAAATATTTCAATGTCTAATTCTATGTGCCTATTGTAAACATACCATCCTCATTCATATTGTACTCAGTTTTAATAAATTCACTGCTACCAAGTTCGTTAACCTCTCGCACTTGAACAGAGTAGTGAAGAGCATTTCCGCCGATGTCACATATATTATCAGCTGATGTACTGCAATTTGTCCACTCTCTTAAACTGTGGAATAAAATTGAAATATAGGTGTAAAGGCATTTGATTATTTCTCTTGTTTAGTTAATTTGATAGTACTCCCTCTATTGTTGAAATATGACCTTAGGCCCTTGGCAACACTTATTGAGAGGAGGAAAGCATGGACTAGACCTATGATGAAGGGGAAGCACTCCCATGTTTTAGTTTTGAAGTTAATGTTTAGTGTTCTTTGCTGGCCATAGTGGTAAGCATATACTACAGTATGTTCTAGTTATGAATCTGTATGATATTTAGGCAGTACTTATGCATAGAAATTACAGGCTCAGAAACGAATAATAGCTAATGTAATAATCACACTGAGCATAGGCTTAGATAACACAATACAGACTGACTCGGGCATATGCTTATGCTTTCAACTTATTCCATTTTATTATAGTTTTGACCGGTTAGTACGAGTAAAGTAATCCGATATCCTAAAGCAATTGGAAGAAGTGTATTTTGTAGTAGTACCTCCGGTTGGACGCCGGCATAATAGGCATAGAATGCATGTACTAGTTTGCCATTAGATGAGATGGGGGAAAAAAAAAACTATAAACTGAGTATGTATGTACAGTATGTATGTGCGTAGTATGTATGGAGAATAAGTCGCTATAATGAATAAAATATAATTTACTGCACCTGGATTTTTCCTGTGCTTGGTATGTGACTGGAAGGTTTGTATTGACTGGTCCACGTGTCCATGTACATGAAGCCTTCTCCAATAAGTGTCCAGTACAGCTCAGGCTTTGGGGTCTTGAGGGTTTCTCTACAAAGGAAAAACACTGTTGTATTAAAGATACTGTAAACCAAGAATAAAATAAAATGACTTTTCGACTTCCATTTCTAATGAGGAAGTATCAGGTCTGTCTGCAGCATTAATGGCATGTGGAGATAGGCCTAGGCCTAACTTTATGACCTCACCTTAGGCTGACCTTAAATTCTTAGACCCGAAGTGTACATAAACAGGGGTCGGAGGTCACCCACAATTCACGGGAATCTCCCTGGAATTGGGAGGTCTTCCCACACTCCAGCAACTGGACTAGAGTATCCCAGAAAATAAAATCTCCTACAAATTTAATAAATCTGCATGTTTTTACTACTGTATTACTATTGTATTATTATGGCTATGTTCTCACACGGCAGCTACCGATTAGCAGGATCCGGATTCTGCTAACTGTTAGCTGCCGTGCGTCTATGCGAGAAAATCCCGACCAATAAGAAACTGGAAATTGCAAACGCGTACGTGTGATTGGTTGATGATAGAAACGCCTTCAACTTGAAACCAATAGCGCTTGCTAACCGTTAGCATATCCGGATACCACTAACGGTTAGCGCTAACCGATCGGGCGTTCTCACGCAGGTGCTAACGGTTAGCACTAACGGTTAGCTACTGATCCGGATACTAGGGCTCTCATGAGAATCAGGCTTATTTATTTCACGAAAGCAGTGTCAATGTGTATAACCATAAGCAGTAAAAAAAATAAGATGTGCTAAAGGCCATTTAAACAGAGCTCCCAGAAATAACTTCTTCCAACTTGGGACCTTCGCATTAAATCGAAAATTCAACTACACTTACTCCCAATGGTAATATTAATGCTGCAATTCCAAGTTCCAACATCAGAATTCGCAGGACCACACTGGAAGACACCACCATCCTCAAAATTTTTGATGACATGTAGAAGACTCATGTTGTCCTCCCATCTACTCTCAAGAAACCTGTCTCTTATACACATCTTTATGAATCTGTATGATATTTAGGCAGTACTTATGCATAGAAATTACAGGCTCAGAAACGAATAATAGCTAATGTAATAATCACACTGAGCATAGGCTTAGATAACACAATACAGACTGACTCGGGCATATGCTTATGCTTTCAACTTATTCCATTTTATTATAGTTTTGACCGGTTAGTACGAGTAAAGTAATCCGATATCCTAAAGCAATTGGAAGAAGTGTATTTTGTAGTAGTACCTCCGGTTGGACGCCGGCATAATAGGCATAGAATGCATGTACTAGTTTGCCATTAGATGAGATGGGGGAAAAAAAAACACTATAAATTGAGTATGTATGTATGTATGTGCGTAGTATGTATGGAGAATAAGTCGCTATAATGAAAATATAATTTACTGCACCTGGATTTTTTCTGTGCTTGGTATGTGACTGGAAGGTTTGTATTGACTGGTCCACGTGTCCATGTACATGAAGCCTTCTCAAATAAGTGTCCAGTACAGCTCAGGCTTTGGGGTCTTGAGGGTTTCTCTACAAAGGAAAAACACTGTTGTATTAAAGATACTGTAAACCAAGAATAAAATAAAATGACTATTTGACTTCCATTTCTAATGAGGAAGTATCAGGTCTGTCTGCAGCATTAATGGCATGTGGAGATAGGCCTAGGCCTAACTTTATGACCTCACCTTAGGCTGACCTTAAATTCTTAGACCCGAAGTGTCTGCAAGCCCTACAAGCAAACAGGAATTCTTTTTAAGGATGTAACGGCTGCTTTTGGTCAATAATATTTAATACTGCCCTCAAAACTTTATAGTAATGGCTTTAATATTGCTAAATGTATATTTTTAATGATCGATGGAGAAACGATTCCACCTACCTGTTTCCATAAGCTGTGCATATTGAACAGAGCAACACATCAGTAACAGAAGACATGTGTAGCTAATACTGCACCATCTCCAACAGACACATATACCTCTGAAAGCACTAGGGGTCATACTCAACAGCATTCTATAAAAGAAATAGCAAAGGAATTCAGGTTTTTTTTCATTGATTAATTATTCTATTTATTTTTAACATTTAAAATGTATTTAGTATAGCATTACCACAAGACAGTTTATATCTCTATTATTTATATCATGATTTATATAAAATAAATGCCTACAAACACAATAAAAATGACAACCCCCTCTCCCACAATAAAAATGACAACCCCCTCTCCCACAATAAAAATGACAACCCCCTCTCCCACAATAAAAATCACACTCTCTTCTCTCTCTCTTTATCAGGCACACTCAGTTAATGATGAGCAAGAAAAAATCATATAGTAAAAAAAAAAAAACTGTTAAAATCTAAATTAAAGTATTTAAATTTACAAATAAAAAATATTAAAACCAGGCTTTAAATGGCAAGGACAAGCCAAACCAGTCACTCGTCGCAAATCATGTTTCTATGATAATGGCCAAAACATGCTGGAATGTCAAAATTTTTACAATTTATTTTATTGCACTAAACTAAACTTTATGTATCTATACATCATGCTATGTTGTTATTTGCCCAATTTCCAAACAACCATTTTAACAATCTGTTTGAAGGCTGATTTCTCAAATATTGTTCTTCATAACGAAATGTCGTACTTTATTTATAACTAACAATTGAATTTTGCGAGGAGTGACTGGTTTGGCTTGTCTACAATTGTTGTTCCTAAAGCTCTCAGTACCATCTGGTCGTCTGAAAATTATGGTCTAAGAACAAGTACAGTACCATTTGCTTCAAAATTGTTAAATCATTAGAGATGCTTTTAAATGAAGAGCACGAGTTAAGATTTCCAACTTTCAGGTAGCAGTTGGTTTCAAAGGGGACAATTTTTCAAAAGAATGTTTGTGAGTCTCGGTTTCACAATTATCATGCAACAGTAAAGCACAAACATTTTCATTTACTTGGCAGCCAGTTGTAAAGAATTCTATAATATTAATGAGTTTTAAATGTCCATATGTGTATCAGAACAGTACATACTGGAGCAGGTTTGATGCCAGAATTTGCCCAAAGGGGGTCTAATGTCCCCAAGTTGGCGTGGTCAGGCGTCACTCAAAATCTTTTGAAAGTGGTCCAGGGGGATAATCCCCCGTCAAATATGATTATTTACGGGTTTCATAGGTTTACTTAATCGATTTTGTAGTCTACTGTGTGTAAAAAAATTGTTTTTTCTCGTCAACCAAGCAAGGGGAGGGGGGGAAGGGACAGTTCTCCCTGACAGGGGGGCCTTGGCCAGATCTGGAAAATGTGTGTGACCACGTGACTGGTTGTCAGAGGCCTCATGAATGTCCCGGAGGCCTTTTAGGGAAAACAAATTCAAAAAACTAAACTGTTGGGTTGTATAGTGTACAGACAATTTTCATGGTCGGAGACACACACCTTTTCTTTTCCAGGCCTGGCCTTGCACCCCACCCCCAACCCCTGTACTGTAGGCTGACAAGAACACCGAAAAAATGTGGAAGTACTGTTTCACTTCATAAAAACATACAGTAAGCAATATACATTAAACAAAAAGATGAGCAATTTTTATATTAGATTATATACTCTAAACAGATATGAAGATATTCAAGTTTACATAGCAAAATAACCTAGTTTATGAGTGAGCAACACAAGTTGATCCATGGAGATCATATTTTCTACATGGTTGAGTCTAAGGCATGCGAAAAACTAATGAACTTATATGGCCAGGTTTTTGTGTAATATGTTACTATGTAATCTACTACATTTGTCCACAAACATTCCCTTCAAATTGTAAGTTAATTTCAGTAATGCTTCGGCAGTGAGAGCTTACGTACCAAATCTTTTAAGCTTGTTTTTCACTACCTTTGTGAAAATCTTACCAGTAAAGTCGCAGTTCTACTACATATCTTTTATTTTAAATTTAAACTCTTGTTGAACTCCCCTCTCTGATTTGTATTATACAGTACCACATTGACAGTAGGGAGCTTTCGATAGCATGACGACGATAAGACGTAGAACGTAATGACGTCATCTGCGCATGCGAGAACGTTACGGTCACCTCACCGAGTAGATTCTGGAACACAATTTGGCCAAATCTACACATGCAGAGAACCTAGGACGCCAGGTAGGACGGTCACGCATGAGTAATTCCGTTCTATAGCGTCGTGTCGTCACACAAATCAAACGCTCCTTAGTAATGATGATTAAACAACCTTGTTGTCAGCAGGCTACAGTAAATACTCTACAGATATGAAGAGATTCAAGTTTAACAAAATAACCTATAGTTTATGAGATTCAAGTTTACATAACAAAATAACCTAGTTTATGAGTGAGCAACACATGTTGAACCAATGAAATATTTTCTACATGGTTAAGTCTAAGGCATGCGAAAAAGTAATGAAATTAAAATTACATATGGCCAGGTTTTTGTGGAATTTTAGTATGGTAACAGTAACACAGGAAAATATACAGTTTGAAATTTCAGTTGTTTGTTCTGACTTTAAATAAAAGTATAATTATTGATACAATACTAAAAACACACAACACATCATAACATTTTAAAATATAAAATCCAAGGTTAAAACTGTAAAAGTTAAAATGGTAAACATTTGAGTAAAAATACAGCAAGCAAAAAGGCACAGTGGCGGCACGAGGATTTCCCCGACGGGGGGTCCAAGGTCCCCTACGGAGGGCTGATGTCCCCAAAAAACCCATTAAAAACCTTTCAAAATTGGTCCAAGAAGAAAAACACCCGAAAATATGACAATTTAGGGTTTTCAAAAGCTTACTAATTGATTTTGGAGTCAATTAATATGTAAAAAATACATATAATTTTTTAGGGGTGGAGCAAGACCTCCCCGGTGGGGGGGGGGGGCTACATCCCCTAGTTACCCCCCTCCCCCCGTAGCACTGCCACTGAAAAGGCATAAAAGCAGTACAGTATGTGTATAAAATGTATTACAGGTATGTAAGAGTTTTGTATAGGCCTAATTATTATCTTTTTATTATTGCTTTAAATTGCCTCATAGCACTTGAAAGAATTAATTTCTTATCTTGTTTCTTCTTCAACCTAGGAAAAACCAAATGACCAGTTTTGCTAAATATTCTTGCTCTTATTGGTATCTATTCTTTCAGCTAACTTACTAGTAACTAGTTGTTTCTGATACTGAAAGAGCACACTGTACAGGAAAGAAAGTTTATGGTAATATTGGCCGTATTCGACTGGTCATTCTTTGTTAAACCACGCCCACCTGCGCAGTGGTAAAATCCTACTTAACAAAGATGACCAGTCAAATAGAAAATTGGTAAATACTCGACAAAACAAAATGGCTGCATAGTTACCACGATATACGCTATGTAATCAATTTTCGTAAGAAAATGTTTTCATCCAGTTTTTGAATTCTGTTAGCCTACACTTATTTTTGGACTCAATGTGGGTAAATATTATAATTTTTAATTTGTGAAAAGTAATCTAAATTATATTAACGCAAATGTTGTTGCTAAACTGACCAATCGGCCATATTTTTTTTGGTCACTTTCATAACTTAACACTGATAACGCATTCCATTTACAGTGATGAGCAAGGCTTACTAAGATGGAAAGCACCCAGTCTTAAAAAAAAAAAAAAAAAAGGAAAATTTTAACATAAATGGCAAACTTTACAATGAACATTTAAAAGCAATACATATAGCACATACTTCCTATACACTTTACATGTTTAACACTTGGCCATTGTTGATACTTTCTTTTCCTCATACCTACCGATTAGAAATTTCTGAACTTGTAAGTAGTTAGAAATATCATAAGACTCTTATCTCAGAGTGTTCATACTTGCTGTCTCTTATAAAATTTAATGCATAAAATTATGTGTTGAGTTCTTTGTGCAGGTATTGATTATATTACGTATATAGATTTTAAATCTTTTGTGTACTTCTGATTTCAAATGTGGCAAAGACAAGCCAAACCAGTCACTCGTCGCAAAAATCAATTTTTAGTTATTAATACAGGGTTAAAAAGTAAAATGAGAGCTATAAAATGGTAAAAAATCATTTAAATCCAACATTTTGTTATGAAGTTACATAAGTTTAAACATACAGCTGTTGAAAGAACAATATTTGAGAAATCAGCCTTCAAAGTTTATGATTTTGGGCATTTCTCAGGCAGAGACCATTACCAAATTGTTAAAAATTGTTTTAACATTGAAAATGGGAAAAATAACAGCATACATGACTTGTATACATAAAGGTTAGTTTAGTCCAATAAAATACATTTCAAAAATGTTGACATTCCATCATGTTTTGGCCATTATTTCTGAAACAGGATTTGTGACAACTGACTGGTTTGGCTTCTCTTTGCCACAAATGTTAATATATTTTAATGTTACTTTTATCTCCATTTTTCATGTTTTGTGCTTGTGTTTGATTAATGTTTTGATATTTTAATACTGGTCTACATTTTTTGTAAATATCATGTAATTCAGTCTTGGCTGAAATATTGATGTGAATAAGAAACAGAAACTAAAACAGAAAATGAAACTGAGGTACTGTACGTTGGTTTTCCTTTCTTTTTTCTTTTGATGCAAGAAATTTCATCATAAAATCGTTCCACTTATAAAAACTATGTTAATTAACCTATTTACTGTATATTTATCATTTCACGACACTGACATAAGAAATGAGTTAAAATGAAAATATAAATGGAGTGGAGATGAACAGCTTAACAGTAAAGATGCTTGCCTTCTGATCCCAGGGTCCTTGGATCAATTCCTGTCACAGCAGGACTTTTTTCTTACAACATAAAACTCCACTCCCTAAGCCTCAAAGAGAGACTTGGTTTATAAAGCATCGTTCCTTACTTTAAGTGCCAAGTGTCTTGCTGTTGGGATGTGAAGGAAATAAATAAAATAAATTATTCTCATACCACCATTAATATCTTCACCCAACCCGAATCCAAGAGGACTCTGACAACGAGCACGACCTGCAGGCTTATGCTAATTAGTCACTCCAGGTGTGCTA